GACGAAAATTATTATATTACGAATCTAGAAATCATATCCTTAATGAATGTATCAGGCATAAATACAATCTTGATTTAAATTAAAATTTTAATTTTCTTTGCTGCATCCGTTCTTCAATGTTCAATGATTTTATACTTGTGCAAACCGCGTATTTATAGTCCAACACACAGTTCATAGTCAAAAGCGGTCACCATTACTAAACATTTACAAGTTTTGTTAAAAACAGAACACTTCTTTTCGATCATCGCTTTTTAGAATTTGTAAACATTTGAAAAAAGCATTCTGGTATGAATGTGTATCGGGGTTTAACAAATGGTACCGGACTGCCATCAAATACGATATAGTCCACTATAAATAGAAAAACCTTCAAGAGGCGTCGCCTGCAAAACCGTTCCAAAAATGTTTGCCAGAAAATGTCCAGGCACAAGGACTTACAAAACTGTAGAAATAATACTTATACGACACAAACATACAGCTAACGTTAATCATAACAATCTTTAAACAATCTCTTTTTCAAAACAGCCCAAAAGAATTTGCCCAAATGTGACAAAAGGTCTCCCTGAAGAAAAAAAACACTTTAAAACTATACAAATGTGGCTTCAGTTGCTTAGAAAAGAACAACAAAACAGTTAAGAATTAGTTTAAAAAATTCTCCCAGCAAAATTTGACAAAATATTACAGAAAGCGTTTTGGCATAACTGGCTTTCGATTTGGTATAAATATTTCCGATTTGCCATCAAGCATGGCTGCCGTTACTAAGAATAGAAAACTTTCAAACGACATCGTCTATTAAACAAAAAAGCCAAACAAGAATGAAAACAAATGACAGAAACATATAGGCATTTATGTATTAGACAAATAATGCTTATCTATCTGTTTTCAAATATGAATGAAGATACCTTATATATATATATATATATATATATATATATATATATATATATATATATATATATATATATATATATATATATATATATATATATATATGTGTGTGTGTGTGTGTGTGTGTGTGTGTATGTGTGTGTGTGTTAATTATTGGTCATTTGTCGGCCAGTAAGTCTCAAGCGCGCAGCCTTTTTTGTGGCAGGACCACGAAAACTGATATACACAAAAAGTAATAAATCATTTAGTATAGCCAATTTGAATGTGTTATCAATCTAAACAGAATATCCAGTATGTCATCAATTGTTGAAGAACAAATTTGTCCTAAATATCCAGTTTTGATTATATTGTGCAATGAACAGCATTACCTGCAATTCTAATTTCCAGGTATAACAAGCACATTCGGACGGGTAGTGTCTGGCATCATGGCCGACTGTATTAGAGATGGAAGTCTGGTGATTAACAACATTTCTATGGTTTTCGCTGGTGCTGCTGTCCTTTTGACTCCTTTTTGTGTGAATTATGAGAGCCTGTGCGTCGTAGCTACTGTGTATGGACTTAGTACTTGTATGTATATTTTTAAATAATTTATCTTTTCGCTAGGATATTATGAAAACATTGTCTAATAAAAAACTACATGTACTATAAATTTATATTTACCATTTTTCCATAAAATAACAGCTGCTCTAATAATAATGATGGCTGGAATTAAAAATCAGAATGGTGGCTTCTATGTTTTCCTCTTTTGGTCCCATTTACTTTCCAGGTGACAAATATACAGTAAGAATGCGTGTCTGCAGATAACTGGGGGCAATATTAAAGCATAATAATTTTCGAATAAGGTTGAATAGGTATCCATCTCTTTTCGTTTTCAGCCGCATTTACCTCGCTCACGTCCATTATTCTTTGTGATCTCCTTGGTCTCGAAAAGTTGACCAGTGCTTTCGGTCTTTTGTCCATGAGCAGAGGTGTTTCCGGTATCATGGGACCTCCATTGGCAGGTAACATTGAGATAGGTGTGCCTAAAATTATAATATTTTGACACGAACGAGATAACTTTGTCATATAAATACGTGTGCATGTAAAATATATATATTGTTTTCAACAGTAGGTTTATTTATGGTCATATGCTTTTGTTATTGTTTTCCTTTCCCCATTTAAAGACGTGGCTTATTGAAGTATTTTATCTATATGAAACTCTCTCTCTCTCTCTCTCTCTCTCTCTCTCTCTCTCTCTCTCTCTCTCTCTCTCTCTCAACAAATTTTCAGTCATATCTGCGCCACGATGTCTCCAGTGTGGCAGTTTATAGTAGTCCTAAAAGTAACCTTTTGTTGCTGAGCACCTAGCGATGCATCTGTTGGTAATATTTTGATAAATCTTTGGTATGACTCGGCCCGAGTTTGAACCCTCGACGTCCAGGATCCTTGGCAGACGTTTTAACCACTAGGCTACGGGAGCAGTGGTAGTCGGAAGGGAATAACCGTGAACTAACCAATGGATTAGCCTAATACGCTTCACATTAGATTAGGGATTTCAAGTTCGACAGACTATGCGCTTTGTATTAATTAATAGTTTGTGGTATATTAAAAGAAAATATGTGGAGCAATATATATATATATATATATATATATATATATATATATATATATATATATATATATATATATATATATATATATATATATATATATATATATATATAACTAGGACGTGACGCTTTCTGTACGACAAATGACTTATTTAATTTAACCTTTCATTTGTTTTCCATTCAAGTCAAATCTTCAAAATTTTACAATTTTTCATGTTTTTTTGTAGAACAGTATACGTAAATTAAAAATCCTTTTATCCTAACAAAATGTGATATGCTTGAACTCAACTAAATTTACAATTAAATTAACGAAGAATTAGTGTTCTAAAATACAGCCTGAATTACCTCCTTTGAATGAGACTTTGGTTTGCTTCGTCGAACCAATCAAATCAAGGTCTTCTCAATTATAAATGATGGATTTGTGCTACATAGGGTCATAACTTGTTATCAAACAGAAAAAGAAAGCAGATTCTTTTTCTCTTTTAAAATTTGGACCGTCAAGTTGCCCAACGTGGTCAGTTTGAAATCCATAGGGGCCTACTGGAGAATTTTTTCCTCTGGCTCATAAATCATGTTTGCAGTCCTGTTTCTCAGTCATCAATATCATAATTCTAAATGCTAAGTTATTTAACTAATTTCGTCCGATTGTTCACAAAATAAAAATGTTAGCTCTTAATAATCGAACCTCTTTCATTCATGTATTATTTCGTTCACTAGCTAATTCGCTAATATTTTGAGGAAAATGTCGGGCAAACTGGTATATAATTTACATATATGTGACAAATAAAGCAATTAAATAATTTATTAATGAAACAAAATATTTACATTGATTATCAGTCAGTGAATAAAACTATGTTCAGATCACAGATAAATTTCTAACATTTTGCATTAATTACTCATAAATTTTTTTTCGTTATTTATCGATGTTTCATAGTTTTTTGAAACACTAAATATTAAATCATTCCGTTTCAAATTTCATCTGCCAGGCTAACTTATTTGTGATGTTTTCCTGGTTTCCAAAGCATGTCATTAGTGTTGTCGGTATTTAATTATGCATTAATAACATGCCCTTCTTTTTCTACCTATTATTTTAACATGATTCCATTAGAGATTGTTTTATTGTCGAATGTACAAATTTGGTCGTACCATCACGCCTTTCTGAAATTTACGTTAACAACACGTACGTAGTGTGTACGTTTTATGTACATAAGATGGGTAAAAATAAACCGCAAGGGTGTATTTTACTTTGATTTGTATAACTTTCAGTTTAACGCACGCCTGCTTGCATAAAGAAACTATCACATACACTGAAAAAAAATTGTAATTTTATTGGAAGTGATGTTAATATTACACCTAGAAAATAAATGCTGTACTAAAAAATTTCTAATAATTTCTCTTAATGTTTCATACATTCTTTGCCAACAACTTCCATGTTTCGCTTTTCTTTAAATTTTTTGATCTAGTTCATAAAAGGTTTACACAATATATTTACCAGATTTAATAACCTCTTATAGATAAAAGAAAATGTTTCCTCACAATGAATAATTATGTCACATTGCAGGGGCTGTGTTTCAAGCAACAGGAGACTACGACTTCTCGTTCTTTTTCGGGGGAGGGTTGTTTCTCCTCGGAGCAGGATTCCATTTCTTACTACACTTGACATGCGTCAAGAAGCTGTCAGTGAAAAAGGTCAAGAGTCAAGACCACCGGAAAATATCGGACAAAGCTGAAGACGACCAAATATCGGATGAAACTGAAGACGACGAAATCTCTGCAAAGGACAACCCCACAACACCGTAGTCGTCTTCGTGGTTTTTATCATGTTGCACAGATATTTGAAAAGACAAACGATTTGTTACTACCCTGATATATTAGTATTATACAATCACATAATGCAAAAGGATTTGTTTGTTGTGTAGTCTCTAACTAATATAAAGTAAAAGTTAAAAAGATATACAATTAGAATGTCCTCTATTCACCAAAATAAGAAGTGTTTATTATATGCTCATTGTTTTCTCTGTTAACTTTACATTGTCATTATCATTCAATTATTCCCCCGATATTGGACGACTCGCGCTCAATTCATACTTAATGCACGTAAATAAAGGAACTATTTTTTAATGTAAACAATTTTTTATGAATGAACTAAAGCAGATATTTTATGCACTGCCACATACCAGCAAATGCTTCATAGAATGACACATACAAACTGCTTTGGCAAATTCCGCATTAACATTTTTGATACAATGTTTCAGATTTAGGTTAGCTATAGACGCAATACAGTGTTCTCACAATAACACGCAAGTTATAAGACATAAACTGTCTTCTTTAGCTGGTAATAAAAATGGCAAAAATATACTTACAATTTTACATCCTGAATTTTCTCAAAATATACTTTCGTACTTCTGAAAATCCGAATTACATGAGCCATGTTATGGGATCACAAGATTGATTCCACATTTCGAAATTTTACTATAATATCGAGTTTTATATTCCAGGTGCAATTACATAATCCTTGACCGCTCCGGTGGTCTAGTGGTTAGAGCGTCCGCCTCGAAAACGGGAGGTCGTGGGTTCGATGTCGAGTCATACCAAAGACTTACAAAAATGGTACTAACAGCTGCCTCGCTTGGCACCCAGCATTAAGAGGTTAGTGTTAGCACTGGTCGGCTTGGTGTCAGGATAATGTGACTGGGTGGGACATCATGCTACATGTCTGCAGCATGATGCCCCAGTGCTAGACATCATTATAAACTGCCACACTGGAGACATGGTAGAGATATGACTGAAAAATTGTTAAAGCTACGGTAAAAATCATAATTACATCACATAATCACATAATCCTTGTTGCACTCAAAATGAAATAATCATTAAATTCCACAGCATTTTTTCAATAATTACCATTGAAAGGCTTCATAATGTTCCCATATTATGATCTAGTCATTCAATGACGGACCAGAAATACGCATGCCGATGTCAACACGCTTCAATACGATTCAACTGACAGACCCTGCTGGAATCCGATGTAGGTTACTCCATGTAGATAACTCCAGACCATAATCACAAAATTGCGTTGAATCGACAAAAATACCTAAACATATTCATTACAGATCAAATGGAAAAAGTTGATACAATGCGTATTCATTAACAATATACTCCAACTTTTCATTTTAAGTCAATCAAACGCCATTTTCGAAAAATACGTTTAGCGCGCGACCAACTTAAAATTTGTTTGGAATGAGTTACGTGCGCATTAATAATGTTGGAAAAAACGATGTGTTCGATATAATTCAGTTTTTTTGTTGACAGCGTATTGTTTACAAAGATAGAGGACACCAGAACAAAAGCACGTTTAATTTCTGAACCAGTACGCACATTGGCAATGAATAACTGATCTCAAAAATGTATTTAGCTAGCTCAGAGACAAGATGGATGACTTTCAATTTGGATTCTGGTTGGTATATCAAGATACACAGTAAACACGGCAAAAAACAATCAACTGCAAAACCAGACTGAGTAAGTAATATGCCACCTATCAAGATCGGTTGCATGTAACGTAGATAGTTTTTCCTGTGCAAGAAAATTACGCACCAAAATTTGGCGATTAAATAACATAACGGTAGGAGCTTTTGGTGTCAGCGACAGGAAGGGCATCTATTCTTCGTGTGTTTACATTGTAACACGAGAACGCAAAGATTACTTACTCTATCTGCATCAGGGTACCAAAGACAACCAGTGTATTTGGATTAAATCCTTTTTTTGCGGGCTTGATGAATGACCAGTACAAGAACAACAAGGGCACAATGTTTTATTGTCTGCGTTTTCCCAAACGAGTAACTTCCTCATGAGCATATCAGATATTGCGCCAATGTCGTATAGGGGACAATGCCAGACAAAATTAACATCATACTTAAACTTTAGAATTTTGCTCAGGTGATTTGCGTGTTCCTAAAAGTTATACTGATCTTTAATCTATACTTGTTCTTTTTGCAGACGCAAATAGCGACCAAAATATTTTCCGTTAAATATATCAAAATCAGGTCTATGTAGTTACCCTTAGAAACTTGTCTCTGTTAACAATAAGCTAAGCAAACCAATAAAACTTTGCAAAGAAATCTGTGGTAAACATTTTATGCAGAAGCTCCCCGTGGAAGTCAGCCATACTGAATAGGATTCCACCTGCAATGTGCTATGTGATATGAACGACGAAGACAACGTTATATATGATACATCATTTTGAATTTGCGAGCAATCACTACGTGAAGACAAAATTCGGAATCACTCTCACTTCACTGGATATCGATGTACATATGTAATCTTCGACTGAGCGTGCCAGAGTTTATTCCAGTGGTCTTTCATAATCTCAGGGGCTATGGCTCATATTTCTCAGAGAACAAATTTGGAAAATTCGAGAAGAAACTAACTTGCATTTAACACAAATTAGAGAAATACTATCATTCTGTCTGGTCGAATTGAGTTTCATAGAAAACTTCAAGCTCCTGCATGCTTCTCTTAATAAGCTAGTCAAAAATACATACATATCTAAGTACATTGCACAATAATTCTGCTGGCGACAAGTTTAGTTTGATTACGCGCCTAGGTATTTATCCATATGACAACATAACGCCACTGGAAAAATATGACGAAGCCGCGCTGCTACCAAAAGAAGAATTCTACAGCAAGTTGGATGGCGCTAAAGTTTCTGATGAAGATTATGCCCACGCTAGCAGCATCTATAATTAGTTTGGTAACACATATTTAAGCGAATATCATGATTTGTTTTTAAAACCTGACGTGATGATGCTTTACGAAGTGCTAGAAACATTTCGTGATCTCTGCGTATCATATTACATGCTGGATTCTGCTTGGTACTCTTGTCTTGTCTTAAATTTTATCGGAAAAAAGGAGTGCGTGCTTGGATCTCTGTCATAAAAAACGGCAATTTCAGGGCGTCAAAAATGAAACCCAGCCTACGAAACGCGCTAAGTTATCAACTCCAGAAATCTGATGTAGTGTCTCGACTTGGAAATGCAGTTAATCAGAATTCACTGTGTCCTAAACTTCACGAATGAAGCCTGACTGAAACCTAATAGTGATTTAATGACAAAACGAGCAGACGATTCTGAGCTGGATTAAGAAAAGCCTACTGAATAATTCTGTGCTGGAAGATACAATGAAGAATATAAGAAAACTCGTCCGCAAGAAGCTAGTACACGACTTAGCATGGCGTGACAATCTACTAAAATATCCTGGCTTCGTTTCAATGAAGAGTTTTGACAAGAACCAAGTGACCATCCACCGCGCAAAAACAAATAAAAACTTTAATAAGCCAGTTTATATCTATCTGCCGCTCTTGAGTTATCATGGTATTGTATGTAAGAGTTTCATTAGTTTCATCAAATCAAAATACTGCGACTAGCCTGAGCTGCTGCCTACAGACACAAACTCTATTCTTCTATGAAAAATAGAACAATATATATTGTTACACGGACATGTTTGCGATCAGAGTAAATTTGATTTATTTGGTTGTCCACGTGATGCTGATAACGAAGTAAGTAAATTTTATAACGCCAGCAAAAACAAATGGAAGATTTAAGGAAACGCATATGACAAGCTTCGGGATGCTATCTCACTAAGATATAAAAGTTATTTGCTGAAGGTGTTGGATGATTTGGAGAAAACTTGTCAAAGGCATTACAAAAAGCAGACAAAATTACTATCACGTATGACAACTATGTTAGTAGTGAATGGGGATAGAATAGGGCATATGAGGCTAAAGAAGGAAAATCAGCCTGGGACTGTATAGGACGCAGATTTATAAGGACAAAAAATCTGCCTAGAACTGTATACGGCAAATACGAATTTAGAAATAGCACATTTTGGGACGTTATAGGAACAGGTGAACTGGCACAGGTGGCACGACGTCACGGTACTGAAGACGGCAATATTGTATCAGGGTCTGACCTAAATACAAATATACAGCTACTACTTCAGGGAGAGACATATAAAATTACAATAGAGGCACAGAGATATAAAACACATATAGATATATAGCATATTATTTGAAAATAAAAATCTTTTCGAGAAAAGAGCCTTTGGGTTCTTGTTCTAATATCTTCTCTTCCTCCACCAGCTTATCATTTGTCCTATACATTTTGTCTTATTGTCTTTCTTTTCCTTCTCCTGTTTTTCCTTCTCCTCTTCTTTCTTTTTCTTCCTTTTTTCATTTTCGTCTTCCTTTTTATCTTTTCTTTCCTCTCCCTCATTCTTAGATTTTCTTCTACATCTTTCTTTTCGTCCTTTCCTATTCTTATTATTTCATTTAAGATCTGCTTCATTTTATAAATTGTTTATCTCAAAAAGTAGTCTACAGGGACTATAAGCCCCAAACTGCATTCTGATCAGCATCTCTTCCACCATAGCTAGTTTTTCCACGACCTTCTGCAGTCTGAGCATTCTTTCCCAGTTGCTTGGCATGGCTGACTATTCAAAGCTGAATGGCGCGAATGACAAACGCCTTGGTATTATATACTTCAAGCACCTACGTGAAAGAAAATCAACCTTTTCACTCACTCACTTCACATGTACTGTACTATTCACACCAACGAACAAGTAAGCATAAAACATATTATATACTATCCTCACCAACGAACAAACAAGCATAAAACATAAAATGTCCTCACCAATGAAATGAACAAGCATATAATACACAATATACTATTCACACTAACGAAACGAGCAAGCATAAAACACAATATATTATCCACACTAACGAAACGAGCAAGCATAAAACACACAACATGTTATCCACACCAACGAAACGAGCAAGCATAAAACACATCAATATACTATCCACACTAACGAAACGAGCACGCATGAAACAAACCAATATACTATCTACAACAATGAAACCAGCAAGCATAACACACACCAATATATTATCTACACCAATGAAACGAGGAACCATAAAACACACTAATATACTATCTACACCAAAGAAATGACTAAGCATAAAACACACAAATATACTATCTACACCAACGATTGTGCATGCAAACATATATATATATATATATATATATATATATATATATATATATATATATATATATATATATATATATATATATACACTGATATGAATAGTGAATGTTTATATTCACACTACACCACATTCATACAAATAGGCAAATTGAATAGTCTCTCTTTTCTAGAGATCTGGTTATCCCTGAGAAGGGCTGTTTTTTTCTTGAGCTCCATATGCACCTGGTTAATGTCGACACCTCCCAGATCTGGCTCCTCACACACAACGTCTGCTCCATTTATTGTCCTAATTCACATTTGTGATTGGGAGAGCAGACAGAGGTTGAGTTGTTTCACTCTCCCAGTCTTCCGTCTCTGAGATAGTGAATGCTTCCCTCCTTCTCCTATACCACAACCGTGGATGATGACGTTGTGGTACTGGTAGTCTCTGTGGCATTGGCGCTTCAGCTGCCGGATGTGTCCCTACCTCAGGTTTCACCTCACACTGAGGTAAAATGAAAAGGTGAGGCTAAATCCTTTCCTCCTCTCTTTTCTTTATTTCCTCCTTCTCTTCCTC